ATGTGCATATTGTGTATGCATGTAGGAGAAGAGTTTGCATTCTACAAAATGGCAGAAAACAATATGCATTATTACTTCCAGATGATCAATTTTCTACAAGTTCTCTGAAATATAAAGCACCAAAAACAGGACTCAATCCCAATGTAGTTGATGACTAAGTGATGCCTATGAATAAATGATCATTATCTACCTTAAAGACTCATCCCCAAAAATGAAAATAATGATCATTATTATATATTCAAGATATGATCCCAGGACCGGCCAATGATGAAGTAAGGTGATGCTCTGGATGCTGCCCACATAGGAAGGTCTCAGGTTCACATCCTGAAAACTGCCTATAATGCTTGATATGCACATAGGTGCCTTACATTCATATTGGCTAAGGCCGAAAGTGGATTGTGGTATTAAGACCCTGTTGGGTGTGTGTGTGTGTGTGTGTGTGTGTGTGTGTAGACATGCCCATGCATGCACATCTCTCAATCCTCTAAAAAAGAAATAAATAATTCTTTAAAGTCTAATTTAAAATTTGATCTCATGCGTCAAGGCCATAAAAATTGGTACTTATCATGTTAAGTTTCTGATCATCATGAATATATTATGCATATATCAGTGATGATTTGTTAAAATGATAATAAAGACAGAATGGTGAGTGAGTTTTACCATTTCCGAGGGAATTTTCTGCAACAGTGGGACTTCTGTTTCTCTCAGCATGACTTGTGATTGATAACAATGTCTAAGTAAAGTAACAGGCCCTAGTTATTTCTGGCTGCTTACACACGAAAGTGTACTCCCACAACTGGTGTTCCTCTATTTATCTCCTCACTTAACTTTCAGATGTATTGAGTTACTCCTTTTCCTGATTATGAATGAAATATTCTTAATATTCTTAATATTTCATTCATATAAAAACACTCAGCTTTAGAATACTCTGATTATCTGATTATGATTTTAAAAATTTTATATACTTTTTGTTACTAATTAAGAGAAGATTCACTTATTCCTAGTGATTAAACTTCTGTAGACATAGCCATTAGCTATAACAATTAGCTAGCAGTTGAGTTTGTTCAAGTATTTGTAGTAGTAGGGAGGGAGGGAGATGGTAGATAGATTGAAATAAAATAAAATTATTATGTCCTTTCTTGAGAGTAACATTGTTAGTGACACTAAAGACTGCTAGAGAACTGAGAGTAGGTGTAAAATGAGAAAATAAATGCTTGGGAATATCAGTGTATGGATAAGCAAATGCCATCATTTGGACAGGCTTGCGGCACACCTGACCAGAGTACTAGGTGAGGTGTTGACGTCAGACTCACCCTTGGTTAGTTTTGCAACAGCTATTTTTCTGGCTACCTAACACCAATCCTTTACAAAAAGCCAAAGCACTTTCATTTTTTCTATATGGATACTGTTTATAATTTAACCATCTTTCTTTTCTATTCTTGCCAGAAGTTTGTTCATATTTTAATTTTATTTTGTGGTAAAGAAATAACTATTTTTACTTAAAAGAAGTATATAAGGTATTATAAATCTGTGACAATTTCCAGGATTCACCAGGGACCTCTAAATTCAGAGTGAAAACCCTAACTAGTCCTTTCACTTTATGATATTAATTAGATATCATAAAGTGTGTAAATTTTTACAAGGAAATAAAGGCTGAAATGCACTCATATTTTTAATTTCTACTTCTTTATTTTTCATATTCATGTGTGTGTGGGTGTGGGTGTATGCACATATACTCACACACACATTTATACTTATATGGGTTTGGAGGATTGGGTATGCATGTACTGTGTTATATGTTGCCATTTCATGATTGGATTAATATATGTGAATATTTTAAATATCTGACAATTTCATCAATGTTTATGGAAATCCTGACAGAAGAGTCTAGAAAAAAATTTAAATTGTTAATGGGAAAGTTACACTACAATCTCTTTAATGGTAGAGAAAATATTTTATCCAATTAAACATCCACACTTATGCAAATCTCACTACCAGTCTATCTCAGTCTCTCTGCACTGCAGATTCATATCCCAATGTTTTCTTAATTTTAAATTTTAGAAAAGTCACCGAAAACCATGGTCTCCATCCTCTACTTGCGTTTTTCTTCTTGTGGTCCATGCCTCAGTAAGTAACATCTATCCATTTACTCAAGGCACAACTGAGGCTTCATCTTCAATACTTTCTTTTCCTTGTGATCCTTACAATCAACGCAAATATCTAGCTCCACTTTTGCATTTTTGCTAGGATTCCCTATAAACATTTTCAATTATATGTCCAAATTGCCTCCTCCTCAATCTTCACTTTTCTTCCATTTAAGCTTTTCTCTAATCTCTTCTCTATTCTGCAATCACTGATACTAATACTGATACTGATACAGATATACTAATAGTTTCTTTGTTTTCTCTTTTTAAAAATGATATGTATTCAGAAGTATGCCATGAAGTGCAGAGTATACATGGACATGTTCAAAGTGTTTTTTTTTTCCTATTCTTATTTATTTGTTATACATTCAACCACTCTTTATTATTACAGCTTATAAAATGAATTTCCCCTGCATGAATACATTGTATATTAGTCCAGTTAAAGGTATTATCATACGCATTATCTTCAACAGGTAATTTTCTGTTTTTGTATCTCTTAAGTGTTTTGCTTCTTTCTTTTTCCTCTTGATTCTTTCCTCTCACTTTCAAAACAAATCTTGTCTACTTGCCATCTTCCTAAAAACTCTTCATTGGCTTTTTCTGATTCTTAGAATATGGATGAAAATCCACAATCAGGTTACAAGGCCGTGCATGATCTGGTTCTGATCTACCCTCTCACCCAATCCTATGCTATTTTCTTGCTCACTTGTTCCAATGAGGAGCAATTTTGCTTTACTCCGGGAGGCATTTTGCAATTTCTGGAGCCCTTTCTCTTAAATTGCAACAATTTGGGGTGGGGGGTTTCCTATTGGCATCTGGTAAGAATAGGTCAAGGATGCTGATAAATATCTTAGAATATGTAAGAACCCTTTTCCAAAAATGACAAAGAGCCAAAACAAACATATAGGTTCCAAAACAAACATATAGGTTCCAAAACAAACTTATAGGTTCCAAATGTCAAAAGTGACATAAAAAACCTTGCTTTACGGGTTTTATCCATAATGTTTGTAATGGATTTGGTATTGCTTTATTTAGGTCCTCTTGCAAAGAATCTGTTACCCTAGCTGCTGGAAATATTTATTAAAAAGATTCTGCTGTCAGTCTGTTCTGGAACTGACGGCCTCAGCTGAGGTGTGTCTCTTCACACTAGGTGGTACTCTTCCAGAACAGCCCATAACCAATGACCGATGGAAAGAGGGTTTAAAGATCTGACCATCTTCGGACCAGCAGGTGGCATGGTGGTTAAGGTGCTGGACACTTCCACATTGCCACCTATGGTTTGAGTCCCAGACCTGATGGATTGCTTTATAAAGATCTGACCATCTTATGCAGACCCATCTTCTGGTGGGCCCTGTAAACTTGGGTTTTCTTTACACCCAGTTCTGCTTCTTTCCAATTCTCCTCCCCATATGTTAGTCCTAACTGTACTCCCTCATAAATATCCTGCACTCAAATTAGCAGCTAAGATCCTGGATACTAGAGAACTCAGTATGGAAAGTTGATTTTTTTTTTTTTTTGAGAGGTTTTTGCTATAGGGCGCATGCGCTTGCCAGAGACAGAGAAAGACAGAGAGACAGAACGCGAGAAATCACCCCCCAGGGAGGTTGGCCACGCCACAATCCCTTCTCCTCCATTCTCCTCTCGGGATCTTGGGCACGCACGCACATGTGCCCGGCGTGAGTTTAAGCCACCGGATCCGGGACGCGCACCCTGGTCAACTATGTGGGAGTCCAGCGACATAGCCATTATGCTAACTGCGGGTCCCTGGAAAGTTGATTTTCTTACGCCACCTTGTGCCTCATTCCAGGTCTCAGGACAGATCTTTATACATGATGATCTCTCTGTATAAAATGATCTTTCCTCATATACCTGGTTAACATGTACTCATCCTTTACAGCACAATTTAAGCCACCAATTCCTCAGTGGCCTTTTGCCCTTTCACTAAATTAACATCCTTTGACCCCTGCCTTTTAAGCTTTTGTAATACCATGAAGGACATTATTTTTAGCACTTTTTAAAGCAATTTTATTTTCATTAAAAATATATTTAGTTAATGGCTGTTTTCACTTTTATATTTTTTATTATGATTGTATCCAGGTCTCTTATCTAGTGTTCACCACATAGCAGGCACAAACTAAAGGCTTGTGGGAAGAAAGGAAAGAGGGAGGGGTCTGTGAACCACACAGAGACTTCTCAGAATTATTGGTTGGAGAAAACAGCCATTATGTGATTTCCATCTTTGTTAAAAGCTTAAATTCAAGGTTGGCAGGTCACATGGTAGTTGAGGTACTGGATTCCACATGGTCCACCACAGTTTGAGTCCCAGACTCAAGTGGCAACTTGCTCACTTTCCCTCTCTCTCTCTCACTCTCTCTGCTCAAATTAAAAAATAATAATGATGAGGGCCAGCAGTTGGCATAAATGGCTATGTCGCTGGACTCCCACATAGTTGACCACAGTTCAAGTCCCGGACCCAGTGGCTTAAACTCACGCCAGGCGCATGTGCATGCATGCCCAAGATCCCCAGAGGAGAATGGAGGAGAAGGGATTGCGGCATGGCCATCCCTCCCAGGGGATGATTTCTTGTTTTCTGTCTCTCTATCTCTGTCTTTTTGGCAAGGGCACGCACGCTATAGCAATAATAATAATAATAATAAATAAAACTAAATAAATCATTCTTAAAAAAAGTTTAGATTGAATTTAGTATTTCCACTATTTACTAGATAAGTCATAATGAGATTTCCATGTTTCATTTTTTTTATTTTAATGCTTTAAAAAAAAGATTTAAAAATTTCTTTCCTAAAAACTCTTTATTTTCTAGAAATATATATACATTTTTTAAAAACACAAAAGATGTTATTTTCTCATTTCCCCATCTTCTTCCTCAACACCTCTGATACCAAGGACATTATGACACCTTACTAAAACTTCACCCAGGTGTCCACACAATGCTCCATATATGAATACTTCTGTATTTGCAAGCTGCATATTCAGATAGCCATCTATAAATACCAGGTAGCCCTTAAACTCCATTCCCTATTTGAGTTTCACTGCTTTTCCTGTTATCCATTGAGGAAAGGTTTGGGATTGAGGAATAAATTTACTGTGATAATGGGCAAACGGGGCTAACTGCTCACCACCAACTCTGTTAAAAAAAAAAATTAAAAATGCATTTATTTCATTATTTATTTTTGCTAGAGGCTGAATACACTCACCAGAGAGGAACAGAGAGATGTAGAGAGGGGGAAAGTGAGAAAGCACTGGGTCTGTGACTCGAACTACAGTTGGCCAAGTCAGATCCTGATGCCTTAACTACCATGTCACCTGGCTGGCCTTATGTCCCATCATTTAAGGAAAGTGCAGTAGAAGGATTTTAAACTTTGGAGTTGGATTGCTCTCATTTTAAATTTTGAGATAGAAGCTTGAGCAAATTTTATAAATTTTGATGCTCACTTTTCTCATCTATAAAACAATAACCTACCTCATAGCATTGTTTTCATCATTGACCTGTCAGCAAAGCACTAGACATATAATAAACAATAGATGCTTTAGTAACTATTGTATGCTGACACCAAACTTAGAGATAAGGAAATGCCCTATAAATCTCTGCAATGCCCAGCCACTGCTACTGCAGGTGTGGCAGCACATGTATCGAGAGCACACAGCTACATCGCTGCTAAGGAATGATCACTTCCTGCAGTTTCATTCTTTTGTAATCTACATGTCATTGGCTATTTATCAAGGTAAACCTATATCATTTCATAAATGTATTATTTCAAGAAGACCATTATATCCTCTGCCATGATCTTCAATGGGATGTTGTTTGGACTGAATGTGTCCCTCCAGATTCATACATTGAAGCCTAATCCCCAGTGAGCTAATATTTGGAGGTGGGGCTTTGGGAGGTAATTAGAGTATGAGGGTGGAGCCCTCATTAATGGGATTAGTGTTCTTATAAGAAGGAGAAACTGCCTTCTCTCTGTGTTTTCTGTCATAAGAGGACATAGCAAGAAGACAGTCACCTGCACACCAGGAAGGGGGCCCACTTCAAACACTGTTTCTGCCAGCACCTTAACCTCAGACTTTCCAGCCTCTGGAAGTGGAGAAATAAACGTGTACTGTTTAAGCCACCCAGTTTCTGGTAATTTGTTATAGCAGACCGAACCAGATGAGACAGGATAAAGGTCTTTTAAAAAACCTTTAAGAAAGGAAAAAAGAAATGCTATAGAAATATCATTAGAAATTAAACATTAAATTATAAAAAAAATATAGTTTATGGGATTTTTGTTTAAAACCAATATAGTAGGGGGACCAACAGTTAGCGTAATGACTATGTCACTGGACTCCCACGTAGTCGACAGCGGTTCGCATCCTGGACCCAGTGGCTTAAAACTCATGCCGGGCGCGTGTGTATACATGCCCAAGATCCCGAGAGGAGAATGGAGGAGAAGGGATTGCGGCATGGCCATCCCCCCTGGGGGGTGATTTCTCACTTTCTGTCTCTCTGTCTCTGTCAGTCTGGCAAGCGCACGCGCCCTATAGCAAAAGCCTCTTAAAAAAAAAATAGTTAGAATCCTGAAATCTATAAAGGTACTTCTTCATGTTTGAGTCCTTTGTTTTGTTTTATTTTGTTTTAATCATATAGTGTTTTAAAAAACCTAAGGGGATAATCAGTTACCCATATATACTAGAAAAATTATATCTATGTTACATCTAACAATTATTATTAAATATTCACAATGTTCCAGGCACTATTTTTAGTGCTTTTGATATGTTCTTAATGAACCCTCACAGTAAAGACCTATGACAGTATTAGTTTCAGCATTTTGCTAGAGTATATTAATCAACTCGCCGAACATCACACGGCTGTATGTGATAGAACCAAGTTCAACTCAGATTTTTTTAATCAAAAGCCCATTTTTTATCAGTTCTTCAAACCTCACCAATATAATAAAATTTGTGGTAGAAGAGAGGGGGGGGAGGAAGCCTCTCTATCACAACCAAGATCTGATAGGAAATCAGATTAGATTTTTATGTCTTTCATTATAAAGATAAGCCAAACAAAACAAATCTGCAGTCATTCTTGTCTTCTAAACGAGATGAAATATGTTTTAATAATGTGAAGAAAATGTTATGTAAAGTTCCTTCTATATAAAGTGACTTTATGGGAAGGGTTAAACAGGGGTCAAAAGGAGGAATATATTCTACTCAGAGTCTGCAAAGGCCCAAGAAAAGTTGGGTGATACTCAGCATAATAAGGGATGAGATTAAAGGAGGAGTTTGAAGAGAGACTTAGGAAATAGGAAGCAAAAAGACCCTTGGGCTGGATAAAATGACTAAAGTGATAAAAAAACAGTGCTTCAGGGCTTTGAAAATTTTACCCAGAAGAAATTTTTGAGAAACTTTCAGAACTAGAATAGAGCTGCAGGATTTATGAGAACAAGGATTTTCCACATGCAATTTTTAGTTGTTTGCATTATCCTAGGTTTTACATTGTCCTATTTGGTTTGCGTTGCTATAAAATCTCTAGCCACCTGGGACCAGCAGTTAGCATAATGGCTCTGTCACTGGACTCCCATGTAGTCGACCACTGTTCAGGTCCCAGACCCAGTGACTTAAACTCACGCCGGGTGCGTGTGCGTGCATGCCCAAGATCCCGAGAGGAGAATGGAGGAAAAGGGATTGCGGCGTGACCATCCCCCCTGGAGGGTGATTTCTTACTTTCTGTTTCTCTGTCTCTCTGTCTTTCTAGTGAGTGCATGTGCCCTGTAGCAAAAGACTCTTCAAAAAAAGAAAAAAAAATCTTTAGTCACCTGGCTATATACCTTGTGATAATGGGGGTGGGAGGGAATCAAAGAGAAGAGACTGAATACCACAAGTAGGATGACTCTGAACAGAGATAAAAAGACAGGGTGAGAGGTAAGATCTAAATGTAAACAAAAATTCAATAAACAGAAGTTGGAATGAGAAATTACCATGAAAACCTAAGAACTGGAGTTTTTATTTAAAAAAAAGAAAAAATGTGCAAACATGTATGCACACACACATACATACATAAACAAATGTTAGTGAGGACACAGGGCATTGCACATCTCACAGAACACTGGCGCTGAAAAGAAAACTGGTGGAAGTTTCAAAATTTTATTGAAATGTCATTGTTCAAGAAGAATTTTATTTAAAACTTGACTTTGCTTTCACCCATTAAGTAATTCACAGAAAATTTTATACATCATGTCTTTAATCAATCATAAGAGTGTAGATATTATTATCTATATATCGAAGACAGACAGAAAACAACTCAGACAGCTTAAGTACTAGCTAAAGATCACACATTACCTAAGCAGATGGCCCGGCTGGAATTCTTTCTTTCTTTTTTTTTTTTTTTAATTTCTCCCAGCAAAAATACATTGTATATTTGTCCAAAGTTATTACCATATACAGAATCCTAACTCCAAATCCAATATTATTTCCTAGTGCTATATAAACACCTTTTCAAAGTAATGTTAGCTCTCCTATTTCCCTTTACTCTTCTGTGAATCTATAATATAATCATTTAAAGAAAAATTAAAGGACAGCTATTAAAAGCACATTAAAATTTGTTATGCTAAATTATTTTAAAAAATTTATGACTACTTAGATAGTATCGGGTATATGAAAACTTGGCATAGTGACTGGGATATAGAAGATGCTTGATCTTATTTGTATTGCCATCACTGGATTATATTAATGTATACTAAACAGAGATTATTTTAGGGTATCCCATTTGATTGTGAAATATTATAATAAATATAATTACTTTGTAGAAATACTTTTAAGTATATAAAATATTTTATCCTCCTAAGAAGATTAAAGCATTTTACCAAAAATATCTTTATAGTATTTGTTTATGAACCCATTTTTCATTCCAAGTTACATTTCAGTTTAGCTCCAGTATAGCATAACCTCTTTTTTGCTTTCTTTTTATTTTTGTTTAGTTTGCTAGAGGGCATGTTAACTAGCAGAAGAGAGACAGAGAGAGAGAAAGTGAAAAAAGTACCCCCCTTGGGGGATGTTCACACTGCAATTCCTTCTCCATTACTCTGTCCTTTTGGGATTTGGGGCACGCATGCACACGTGCTTGACAGGTTTAGCATAATGAAATTTAGCATAATAAAATTTAATGTGCTTTTGATAGCTATCCTTTACATTTTTCTTTAAATGATTATGTTATAGATTCACAGAAGAGTAAAAGGTAAAAGGGAAGCTAACATTACTTTAAAAAGGTGTCCATGTAGTACTAAGAAATAATATTGGATTTAGAGTTAGAATTCTGTATATGGTAATAACTTTGGACCAATATATAATGTATTTCTGTACACATGCACACGTCTGACAGGTTTTTTATAAACTACTAGGTCTGAGATTGAACCACACAGTTAGCCATGTGGGATCCCGATGCTTTAACCACTATGCAACCAACTGACCTGCATAATTCCTTATTAATAAGGAGGATTTTTCATTGCACTTCACACAAATTATTTTTTCTTAAAAATACATCACATGAGCCTGATCCAATTAAACATTTTTATTTTTAGAGAGAGATTTTTCCTAGAGGGCATGTATGCTCCCTGGAGAAACAGAGACAGAAAGCAAAAAGTCACCCCCTAGTGGGGATAGCCACACCACAATCCTACATTCTCCACTCAGGATCTTGGGTCTATATGCACATGTGCCCAGTGTGAGTTTCAAGCCTCGAGGTCTGGGACTCAAACTGCAGTTGTCCATGTAGTAGTCCAGCAACATAACCATCATGCGATTTGTTGATCCCACTCATATACACATGTTTTAAGGAAGGATGGCTCCATGAAAAATAACATCACTTGTTATTGCTTTTTATGTGCTAGTGCAGAAATGTCACTGCCATGGATCACAGCAGTGACCTTAAAGCATTCAGCTTTCCTTTATGCTCTGTAGAGTACAGCAGCTTTATAGTTGCAAAGTTCATAATTATATTAAGTAATACAATATAGAGTAACTACCAGTCTTTTCTATCAAATCTCTATCATTAATAAGCATTCAATCCTGTATATTAGACATAAATACATTAAGCATTGTAGCTGCTTC